TTCCCTATGTTGACCTCGAATTTCACGAATTTGCTTACCCAGTGCTTACTTTTGGCGGGCGGACGCCGGAAATGCCGAAGATCACCAAGCGTGTTGTGGACGCCGCCAAGCCGTCCGATAAGCCAGCTTTCATATGGGACGACACCCTCAAGGGTTTCGGTTTGCTGATCCGCCCTTCCGGGGTCCATTCCTTCATCTATCAATACCGGACGCGGGAGGGACGGAGCCGCCGAACCAGCATCGCCAAGGTGGGGACCATCACTCCCGACAAAGCCCGCGAGATAGCCGAAGGACACGCGGCGACGGTCAAGGCAGGGGGCGATACCCTGGACGCCAAGGCCAAGGCACGGGACGCCATGACCGTGAATCAACTGCTTGACCTCTACCTCGGCTCGTCCCGGTTCAAGGAGAAAGCCCCTTCCACCAAGTCAATCGAGCCGGGACGCATCAATCGTCACCTACGCCCTCTGCTGGGCCGGTCCTATGTGCATAAGCTGACCACCGAGGATATCCGCCGCGCCCGTGACGCCATCCGCGACGGCAAGACGGCGACAAATGAGAAGACCGGCAAGCGGGGCCGTGCCCGCGTTACCGGCGGGGCGACCACGGCGCGGGACACCATCGCCCTTCTGCGCGCGGTCCTCAATTGGGCAATCGAAGAAGGATACATCCGGCGAAATCCAGCTCAGGGTATCAAGCTGGGATCGAGTGGACGGCGCGAGACCATCCTGGATGGGAAAGGATATGAACGCCTGTTCGCCGCCCTGACCCGGATGGAGGCCGACAAGCGCATCCGATCCGCCGTGGCGGATGCCGTGCGCGTCATCGCGTTGACCGGGGCGCGCCGCTCCGAGATCGCCGGGCTGCGGTGGCGTCATGTGGACCTGAAAGCGGGAACCATCACCCTTCCCCCGACCTCGCACAAGGCCGGACACAAGACGGGGCAATCCCGGACGATCCACCTTCCCGCAGCTGCCATCGAAATCATCGAGCGGCAGGACCGCAGCGGATCGGACGATTTCGTCTTCCGACCGGCCAAGGGGGACGGTGGGACCATCGCTCTATCGAAGCCTTGGCGGGCAATCCGCAAGGAGGCCAAATTGCCCGAAGGGTTCGGGTTGCACGGGCTGCGGCATACCCTGGCATCCATGCTGGCGATGAGCGGCGGACAGGCTTCGGAAATCCAAGCCGCGCTCGGCCATTCGACCATCGCCATGGCAGCGAAATACGTCCACTGGGCCGACAGCGCGCACAAGACCTTGGCCGAACGCGCCGCCGCCCCTGCGCTGGCAGGCCTCAACGGCAGCACAGCGCCGCAAGCGGACGGGGAATAAAGGCCTCAGATTCCACAGGAAATATTCTGCCAATGAAAAAAATTGGCCCCCGCCACAGGGCAATTACGGCGTTTCCCGGTATATAAGACTCCGTCGGCACTACCGGCGGGAAGCAAGAAGCCGGAGGCAGCCACATGCAACAGCAGTATTTTCGGCGGGCGCAGGCCGCCAAGTTCATCACCGACACCTGGGGCATCCCATGCAGCCCCGCCTACCTCGCCAAGCTGGCGGTTACCGGCGGAGGGCCGCCCTTCCGAAAGATCAGCCGATTTCCTGTCTACGCCAAGGCCGACCTCGTGGCGTGGGTGGAATCGCGCAGCACAGGGTTGCTGACCTCGACTTCAAGCCAGCCCCGGCGAAAGGGATTTCAGGACGCCGGGAGGCCCTTTGCCGATATGGCAAGCGAGCAAGAAACTCAATAAAAACAAATAGTTGACACCTTCTGAGGGTCTGGTTTGTTTAAGATAGGGGGCGTGTGCGCCCCCTGTATCACGACGAACCTGAAAACCTATGGAGGTCAACCATGAACACCGAAACCACCCATGACGACGGCTTCATCGTCCTTCCGGCGGCTTCCGGCGGCGGTGCCCTGCTGCGCCGCAGCCAGATCGCGGGCGGACGCCCCAACGGGGCGGACGGGGCCATCGTCTACTTGGCTGCGGGGCCGAGCATCTACACCACCGCGACGATCCCGCAGATCGCCCGTTACCTGCGGGCGGATATGGCGGACGTTCGCGCCGAGTAGCCCAACGTGGATGCCGTCGGCTGAACGCCGGCGGCATCCGCTCTTCTTGGAGAGAACCCAATGCGCGTCTCTCACTCCGCAATGCCCTATGTGGACATAGAGCCGCACCTAGCGTCGGGGTCTATCCCCGCCGCGCGAGAGATGCCCGTAGTGTTGACCGATGCCTTGGTTCGGGTCGCCCAACCGAGACAACGGGAAACTTGGGTACCGGATAAGGAAAGCCCTTGGCTCGCGCTGCGTATCCGCCCGACCGGGAACAAGAGCTTCTATTTCCACAGCTCCGGCCGCGAGGAATTTGGGACGTGGCGGGAGCAGATCGGCAATGCCGAAACCTACACCGTGGCCGAGGCCCGGAGGAAGGCAGAATGGATTGCAGCCCGTCTCGCCAATGGCGAACGCCCCACGAAGGCAAGACCACGCCGCAATGCGCCCTTCGAGAAAGCGGTCTCCGAATATTTCCGAAGCCATCCTCCGGCATCATCCGATTGGTTCATGACGGTAAAGAGCCTGTTCGACCGATATCTTATTCCGCGATTTACCGGGCACCCCCTCCCATCAGTCCGCAAGGATCAATGGCTTCTCGTAATTGAACTGGTTGCCCTGGAACAGCCAGGCCGGGCGATCAATTTGCACAAGGCTTCACGAGCGTTCCTGACATGGGCGTGCCGGAATGGGTTGATCGAAACCAACGTCCTAGCCGCTACCAAACCCGAACTTCCGCCGTCCCGTTCGCCCCGGTTCCTTAGCGTCAACGAACTTGCCGCCATCTTTGATGCGGCCCAGTCCCTTGGACCACCTTGGGCCGCGATGGTCGGCCTGATCATCCTGACCGGCAAGGCGATCAAGGACGTGCGGTGGATGGATGCAAGCCACATCGATTGGGACCAAGGCGCATGGAGGATCGAGAGCCTCCCCACCTATGACGGACTCGATATGCCTGACCGGCGGGTCAAGCTACCGCCGCAAGCAATGGCGCTGCTCGCCCCCTACCGGCAATGGCGGGGACTCTTGTTTCCATCCCCGCGCGGCATCCTGAACCCCAAACCCATCAACCTCCATGGCCGGATCATCGAAGAAGTACGGAACCGAAGCGGCGTTCCGAACCGCTGGGGTATGCGGGACGTCCGACGATCCGTCGCCCGCGAGTTGAAGCGCCTTCGCGGACAACCGGCCTCTCTCGCCGTATGGGCTCAACGCCTGGAAGATGTCCGCGCCGAATCAACCATTCCAACCGACGACATGGAGGACGTGATCCTGTGACCCACGGGCGGGAACACGGTGCGTTGACGCGATGGAACGAAATGAAATGCCCGGAAAAGCAACGCCATCCCAAGCAAGGCCAATCCAACTCAGGAAAACCGTCCGTGGTGAAATCGGGATGAAACCGAACGCAAAAACCGAAACGTCGCCGTGCCGAAGCAGCAAAAACCATGGACGAGTTGAATGGCCGAAATGTCTAGGCAACTCGCACGAAATGCCCCCTGCCAATCCCCACCTGTCGGGGAATCGTTCCGGAAAAATCGGGAGGGATGACGAATCGCGGCGGCGTTCCCCGACCGTGCCGGGGGATAAGGCCGACCCGACGACCGCGAACCATCACCCACCACTGAATCACCTTTTTGATCGGTTTGGTCGACTCGGTATCGAAATGCAGCTGGGGGCCGGAAATTCCGAATGGATTGCCAGCCTGTACTTGATCTCGGATGAGCTGCTTCTGGCACCAGGACCCGAGCCCAGCGAAAAGCGGAGGCCAGAAAAACCACCAAACCACGAATCAGAACGCTCTTGGACATCGTAAATATGGAAGAGGAACAGGAAAAGTAGCCCTGCCTACAAGAAATGCACGGAATATAACCGCTGATCACTGGAATGATTGACCGGAATAATGCTGGACTGGAATAGAAACTGGACCGGACTATTAAAAGGGACTCCCAATAGGGGAGTCCCTTTCTTGCCCCGAAATTGTCTACTTTCCAGAGAGGCGGGTAATCATGCGGGCCGGGTCGGCCCCAAGCGCCTCGGCAACGTCAAGAAATTCGACCACATCAAGCCGCCGTTCCCCGCCCTCGTACTTAGCGACATAGGACTGGGGCTTGCCGAGCCGGTCGGCCACCTCCTGCTGGGTCAGGCCCGCAGAAAGACGTTGCTCCCGCAACAGTGCCAGCAGCCTCTCATGCCGGGGCGTGTAAATGGACTTGTTCATGGAGGACCGCCGGTTGAAACCACCGGCAATCCAATAATCCCATTTGAGAATTATCCCAAAACAGGATATAGTGGTTGGAACGCCCCAAAGCCGGAGGACGGCGGATGAAATACGATCTATCGATGCGCCATTGCGGCACCTGCGGCAGGGAGACGCTGCACGTCAAAGCGGCTAAGCCTACCGTCGCCCGCTATCTTTCAACCATCCTGACCTTGGGCATGAGGCGCGCGGGCCAGAACGGCCCGGCAGAATGCGTCTGCTGTGGTGCAATCCCTAATCCGGAAGGCCGCCACCCGCTCAGGCTACACCTACAGGCAAAGGGCCTTTAGGTCGGGAATAGCGCACACGGCGACACCTAAAACTTGGCGAAACCGCTATTTGGCAAAATGGTTGCGCGTTACGCCAAGCGAGCCAATCCAGGCCGCTAACTTGTGTGGCATTCAGGCGAGCAGTTAGCACAACCATTCGACTGAGGATAAACTTTCTTGGCCTCTCGGACCGCTTCCCGGCAGGAATCAAAGTAACCGAGATAATGGCGGTTTTCCTCGCGAGCCGGGGTCGGGCATCCTTCGGTCTTGTGCACCTCATGATCCCCATTCGGCTGAGCGTTCGTGTTCACATAATAACGCGGCATCTTGCCCCCCATCATCAATGAACTACTATAAGTATGCCTTTTGATCTCTCATTCCACAACTACGGTATCCGCACAAAGACACTGTTAGGAATCACCAGAGTCTAGCTCGCGCGCGAGCGCCTCAAGTGCGGCGATGTCGCGCCCGACGATGGTTTTCGCGCAGTCAACGCAGTAGCGGTCCCAGCTACGGCCATTTCGAACATTGAGGCGTTTGTCGCCACGCTCGATGCGGTGCCGAGCGTTGGCTTGGCAATTGTGAGCCTTTTTGGCTACATCTACCTCTGTACGAATGCGCAGTGATTTAATTCGCGGCATTGAAAACCTCCTGCACTGCGCGCTCAACGATATCAGCAAAATCCTGCTCGATCTGGTCGAGCTCGGGCCGTGTAAACTCATGGCGCTCGCGGGATTGACGACCAGTGGCGGCGTTCACCTGCCGATCAATGGCAGACTTGAGAACAACAAAATTTGTGCGACCAAGGCGCTGCCGGTCGAGGTCGTGGCCTTCCGGGTTGACGCCGCGTTCCCCGAGAATGCGTCCGGTCTCCGTACGCACGCGCATGTCGAGACCGCCGCGCATGGCTTGACGCTGCCGCACGCGCGTCACCGGAACGGGCTCAAGCTCGTCATAAGCCTGCCTCACTTCGTCTGATGTATAACCGCGCTCTTGGAGGACCCTAAGAGCGGCAAGGGCCTCGGGGTCTTCGGCAATCAGGGGGATTTCCTCAAGTCGAATAGAGGTCTGGCTCCGCACGTCGAACCGTTCGCCGTCGCCGAAGTCGCGGGGCGTGGGCTCCACTTCAAGCTCGTCGCCGGAACTAAAATCGAGATCCTCCATGGGAAGAAGCTGGTCGAAGAACTCGCGATCAGCTTCGCTGTATTGCTGGAAGTCGGTCCACCGGCTGGCGACGTTGGCCCCGGCATGGAAAACGACGCTGCCATTGTTGAGGACGTGGCCGGGCGCGTTCTGCTCGATGACGCGCATGATGCGCCCAACGAACTGCACAAAGGGAGAGAGGTTCGCGAAAATGCTGAACACGGCCGCCACCGCAAGGAAGGGGTGGTCAAACCCTTCGCCCAGTTTGCGGACCTGCACGATCACGTCCAGCTCGTGGTTTTCAAGACGCTGCAAGACACGCTCGTTGGCGGCGCTGTCTTCGCGGGAGTGGACATAATCGGCGCGGCGACCACGGGCGCGGTACGCTTCGACAATCTGGCGGCAGTGCTCATAGTTGAGCGCCGAGGCGATAATCTTGAGCCGGTTGTCAGCGGCGGTCTGGCGAAGCCTGTCCAGCTCACGAATGGAGGCATCAACGATAGTGTTGAGCGTTTCGGTCGAGGTCACGATGCTGCGACGGAAATCGGCATCCTGCTCGCCAAGGCGGCGCACTTCGTCAAGGCTGACTTCGGTCTCCTGTCCGTCCTCGCGGCGGACATAGCGGAGGGTGCGGGGATTGAGGACAACGGCCTTGAGGCGCTTGACGTAGCCTTCCTGAATGGCTCGGAACACGGGGTAGGAATAGAGGATGCGCCCGGCCATGAGCTGGCCGTCGGCGCGCAGTGGCGTAGCACTAAAATTGACGATACGGGCTGTCGGGAATTTGGCTTTGAGCGTGGTCCAGGTCTGCGCGACGTTGTGATGGCCTTCATCAAACAGGATGAGGTCAAAGAAGTCGTCCGGCAGGTCCTGGAGCCAGCGATTTTCCTCGCCCTGAAGCTGCTGGATGTTGGTCAGCACAACGTCAGCTTCCTCAAGGTCGGCGCGGTTGGTGGTCGTGCCCCGGATTTCGGCTGGCTCGGGATAGGGCTGGCCGTTCAGCACGCCGCACTTGATGTAGAACATTTCCGGGCGGGCCGGGTCGAAATCGTCGTGAAGCTGCTCGGCGATCTTGACGCCGGGGGCTACGACAAGAGTACGCGTAGCGCGGAAGGCAAAGGGGGCAATCGTTATGCAGCCTGACTTGCCGCAGCCGACCGGCAGAACGATTCCAACCTCGCGCTCCTGCTCATCCGGGTTCCCGGCAAACCGCGCAAGCTCGGCGTATGCCTCACGTTGGGGTGTGCGAAGTTGGGGGTTGCCAGTGATCGAGGGCTCGCGGGTCTGAAAGGGGTTATTCTCCATAGATAGTTCCTTCAATTCCACGCTGGCGAAGCCTACGGGAGGCACGACACGCTAGTGCTCCGTATCCTTGGGCGGGTTGGGATCGTTACCGGGAGCAATGGTGTCCTTACTCCTAATAAGCCCATCGCGGCCCTTGGTGGTGAGTTCGCCGCCGCCCTGGTTCTGGAGCATGTCCTTGGCGGCGTCGATGGCGTCGCGCTGCGTGCCGTGCAGACTGGATGCGCGGCCCGCGTCACTGCGCTTGTTGGCCCATTGACCGTCAGGGCGGCGATATACGGTTCGATCTCGATCCTTGCTCATGTCTGGCTCCGATGCTCAAAAGTAAAGGCAATCGCCATGAGGGCTTGTTAACGCAAAAATTTACTGCTATTTTCCGTATAACGCAAGTCGCTACCGAGGCCCACATGACCGATCCGATTGCACGTATCCTGAGCAATTACCCGGCGGCCTTTTTTCAAAGCCTCGCTGAACATATGGACGCGGCCTTTGCGAAGGCGCTGCGCGTAACGCGTCAGCACTACGCCGATCCCGAGCAGGCCAACATGCTCGGACAAGCGCGCCATGCCTGTTGCGAGGAAGGATTTAGGGCAGCCGCGCAGGATGCAGGCATGGCGGCGATTGCGCCGCACACCGAGCCCGCCGGTGGCCGCTACAGTTTGGTGAGCCACGAAGGCGTGCATCTGATTCGGGGCAACGTGCAGGCACATTGTGGTCCGCCCCGTCCGACACGATTTCGGAGCGCATGGGCGGCGCTGAATACGTGGCTGGACCCGATCCAGCTCGATCTGCTTCGTACGGTACCCACGCCGTCCTCGGAACGGCTTTGCGGGATGATCATCGTAACGGCGAACCGGCGGAGCGACGACCCGAGCATCCCCGCCTTCGTCGGGCTAGGGATTCCGCGCAGCGATTTGTCGGAATGGGTAGCTCTGGAACCAATCCAGAAGCTGCTTGCTCGTTACCACGATCTTGAGACGAAGACCCACACGCCGCCCGAGGCCCCGGTCGAAGTGAAGGACCGGGCCGTGCCACGTCTCAAGACGACGCCGGGCGGCAATCCAACAGGCTAGACCCCGAAAACGGGGCGCGGGGAGAAAGACCATGCGCAATGGCACACCAGGGTTCAGAGCCGAGCGACTGGTGGAGGCCCGGGATTCCCGGGGGCTCACACAGGTGGCGCTCGCTGACCTGATCAACCGAACAAGCTCCAGTATCTCGCGCTGGGAGGGCGGGGCGCAGTCTCCTGAACCGGAAGCCGTGGAAGCGCTCTCCCGAGCACTCAACGTGCCGGTCGCGTTCTTCCTGCGCCCGTTGCCAGACCATGGCCCAGCTCCAATGTTTTTCCGTTCCATGGCGAGCACCACACAAACGGTGCGCAAGCGTGCAGAGGCGCGGCTGCGATGGACGCAGGATATTTCGTTGAGCCTCCAAGAATGGGTGGACCTTCCTGAGGTCAACGTGCCGCGCCTTGACGTGACCGACCATCGCGAAATCCGAGACGAAGATATCGAGAGCATGGCGAACGAGTGTCGTGCAGCTTGGGAGTTAGGTGCAGGCCCAATTGCCGACGTTCTACTCGTTTTAGAGAATGCCGGAATTGTGGTCGTCAAAGAGGAAGTAGGCACCGTCAAGATGGACGGGTTATCGAACTGGTCAGCAGCGGACAACCGACCCTACGTGCTGGTCGCACGCGACAAGGACACCTGTGTTCGCTCACGTATGGACGCGGCGCATGAACTGGGGCACCTCGTACTGCACCACAGCCTCAAGCCGAAGACGCTGAACAACAGCTCAGACTTCAAAGAAATCGAACGGCAAGCATTCGATTTTGCGGGAGCGTTCCTGATGCCTGCGGAAAGCTTTTCGACGGAAATCTGGTCACCGTCGCTAAACGCATTTGTGGCGCTTAAGGAACGTTGGAAAACTTCGGTAGGCGCGATGATCATGCGCTGTGCCAAGCTCGACATTTTAAGTGAGGAGCACCAGCGAAGGCTCTGGAAGTACTACAGCGCGCGAGGTTGGCGAAAGAGCGAACCCCTGGACGACGAGCTTTCGCCGGAGCATCCACGGCTCCTGAGTAGGTCAGTGCGTCTTTTAGTCGATGAAAAGGTGCGTAGCCGCGAGGCGCTTCTAAGCGATTTTCGTCTGCACGGGCCGGATGTAGAGGCTCTTTGCGGATTGCCTAGGGGGTACCTGACAGCCGAGTCCGCCGAGGTAGTGACGCTACCGAGACTAAAACGCTCCACACCGTCAGGTGAAGGTGGTGGGTCGGTTGTACCCTTCACCAAGGATGGATAAAGCGAAAACTATCAGAAATAATAACGCATACTCATTGCTCCGGCTCACCAAGGAAAGGCCCGTTTGCTTCCCTCGGAGCCGCCTTCCGGGGCCTCGGGAGGTGCGAAGGCGGCTCCGAGGAAAGCAAACTCCATCTCTCCCTATATCTCTATCTTTCTATAGTGGCGCGTTGGGGCGACGCGGAGTCGGGAGCACGAAGGCCCAGAGAATCCGGGCTTTTTGGACCGGTCGGGAGGGCCGCGAAATCCCTTTTTCTGCTTACCCTGTGCTTACTCGGGCATATCCGCACCCCTCGGATCAGCAAGCAGAAAAGAGAAAACCCCCTGGTTTCCCAGGGGGTTATCATGGTGGGCGCGGCTGGGATTGAACCAGCGACCCCTACGATGTCAACGTAGTGCTCTCCCGCTGAGCTACGCGCCCATCGCCGTGCGGCGGTTCGGCCGGACGAACCGGCGACCCCGCTGTCGGGAGGCAGCGATGTAGCAAGACCGTGGCGGTTTGACAAGCCTGCCGAACCGCTTTGACGAACGGCCTTGTCGACCCGCCTTGTCGACCCGCCTTGTCGACCCGTCGCCGACCTCGGCGCGCGACGGTCGCTCAGGCGGCCAGCATGGCCTCGACCTCCTGCACCAGCTCGCGCAGGTGAAACGGCTTGGAGAGCACGCGCGCGCCGGGATGCTGGCGGTCGCGCGCGCGCAGCGCCACGGCCGCGAAGCCGGTGATGAACATGACCTTCAGGCCGGGGCTGACCTGCGTGCCGCGACGGGCCAGCTCCACGCCGTCCAGGCCGGGCATCACCACGTCGGCCAGCAGCAGATCGAAGCTCTGCTCGCGCAGCCGCGTCAGGGCGGTCATGCCGTCGCCCACGCTGACCACCTCGTGCCCCGCGCGGTCGAGCGAACGGGCCAGGAAGCGGCGCATCGAGGTGTCGTCTTCGGCGAGCAGGATTCGGGCCATGGCGAGACCCTAAAGCCGAACGCGCGCCCGGGAAACCGCCTTGCGCCCGCGCCCGGACCGCCCCACCTACCTGCGGTCGCCAGGCGCTCCGGCGCTGCCGCCCGGCCGAGAAGACCCCGCCCGGCCGAACGCCGATGCGAGACCGTTGGCGGGCCCATGAAACCGCGCTTTTTGCCTTGGCCGGCGCCCGCCCGCGAGGCATGCTCGCCAATTCGATGGACACCTTCGCCCCCCATAGACCCCGCGAGGCCGAGGCGCCGCCGACGGTCACCCACGAGGTGCTGCGCCCCGCCGCCCGGCGCCTGCCGCTGGTGCTCGCCTCGCCGCACAGCGGCCGCGACTACCCGCCGGCCTTCGTGGCCCGCTCCCGGCTCGACCCGCGCCAGCTCCGCCGCTCCGAGGACGCCTTCGTCGACGAACTCTTCGCGCCCGCCGTCGAGCTCGGCACGCCGCTGCTGCGCGCGTTGTTTCCGCGCGCCTTCGTCGACCCCAACCGCGAGCCCTTCGAGCTCGACCCGGCGATGTTCGCCGAGCCGCTGCCCGACTACGCCAACACCCGCTCGCCCCGGGTCGCCGCCGGCCTGGGCACGATCGCGCGGGTGGTCGCCAACGGCGCCGAGATCTACCACGACAAGCTGAGCGTGGCCGAGGCGCTGCACCGCATCCGCAGCTTCTACTGGCCCTATCACAAGGCGCTGAAGGAGCTGGTCGACGAGACCCTGGCCGGCTTCGGCACCTGCCTGCTGCTCGACTGCCATTCCATGCCGTCCAGCGGCGCCGGCAAGCCGGTCGCGCCAAGCCGCCAGGGCAACCGCCAGGCGAACCGCGTCGACGTGGTGCTGGGCGATTGCCACGGAACCGCCTGCGCGCCGGCCGTGGTCGAGCGCGCCGGCCAGGTGCTGCAGGCACTGGGCTACCGGGTGGCGCGCAACCAGCCCTATTCCGGCGGCTTCGTCACCCGCCATTACGGCCGGCCGGAGGAGGGGCTGCACGCGCTGCAGATCGAGCTCAACCGCGCCCTCTATATGAACGAGGGCACCTACCGGCGCACCCCCGGGTTTCAGGCCGTGGCCCGCGACATGGCCAAGCTGGTGGCCGCCCTCGGGGACCTCGAACCGCACCTGCTCGCGCCGCGCTGACACCCGGCCCGCCGTCCGCCAGCCGCCGCGCACGGCGGCCTGCGGCCCCCCCGCGCCGTGGCCC